ATATGTAAAATAAAGAACTTTTCCCCCCTGGAGAATCAGACGGCAGTATTTACGCACGTGATCAGACGCGAAGCCATGCTTCCCACTTCATAATTCCAAAGCCCAAAAAACTGAGAGCCAAGGAGACAAGGGGACTGTGGTAAGTATTTATAATAGAAATTGGTTTCACAAGAGAAACCTCAATTCTATTTCAAAATACGTTACCACAGTCATTATAATGCGAATTCGACTTAACGCAGTGGTGTCTCCGTGGAGCGATAAAGGGTTTCAACAATAGGACCCATACCCCCAGAGGATAAAATCAAAATATCTTTGCTTTTGTGACACAGAGCCTGATTACGCCCAGCGTTCCGGATCACGCTGAAGAAGACATAATGAGGCTCATGCAAAAGAAGAGGGAGGACAGACAACGGATTGGGCAGCCACAAGAGGGCCCAAAGAATACAACCCGTCAGACTGTCCCGACAAAGATTGGAGATAGAACTCCGTGAACGTAGAATGACCCCTACAAACAGCAGCTGTCATGACCTCAGCGTAAGAAGAACCATTAAGAAAGGTCCACGAAGTAGCTAAAGCGTAAACCTCATGAGCCCTTACCCCTGACACCCGCAAGGACTGATCCCCTGCCGACTCATATGCAGCTCGAACAGTCTGAACAATCCAGCGCGAAATGGTCGCCGCAGAGATATCGGAGCGCCCGGGCTGGAGATACTGGAACAGCCGAGACGAGTGTACCCCCCCCCCCCCCCCCCCCCCGATCAGGACAATCCCCATCCAGAGTTAAAGCCAAAGAAGGGATGACCACAAGCCCTGGGATCAGTGGTCACCGAGACCGAAGATTGGCCAGCCGAAAAATGAAGGCAAGAAGGAGATCTGCTGAAAGCATGAATCTCGCTTCTGCGGCGACCGGAAGCAAAGGCTATCAAGAACACAGTCTTGAAAGTTTCCGATCCGTCGACTGGAGGGGCTCGAATGGCGCACTCAAAAAGGAATCTAGCACAAGTCACTGGGGTCAAATATGTTTAAAACCTTTAAACAACTTCTTCAAAATTACCAAGAGGCCTAGGGTGATGATATTTGGCCAGTAACATGCTTGGATGAAGGCCTACCAAGTTTGTTCAAATAAATGACCTTGATTTATATTCAAGGTCACTGGAGTCAAATATCTTTAAAACCTTTAAACGACTTCTTCTGAATAACCAAGAGGCCTAGGGTGATGATATTTGGCCAGTAACATGGTGGGATGAAGGGCTACCAAGTTTGTTCAAATGAATGACCTTTGCCTATTTTTTCTGAACTACTTTAAACTTTAACTGAAGACGCTGATATTTTGCCTGTAGCTTTATTTTAGTCCTCTTTTAAGGTTACAATTGTGAGATTAATACCAGGTGAGTGATGCAGGCCCATTTGGCCTCTTGTAACCTCTCTGCTTTACAGGTCGTGGTTGCTGATATCGCAGATTTAGCTGCATATATGTACCGCATCCACGACCCAGTATTAGCCCCTAATTCCGTTTTTCTTGAGAGTGATCTGGATAAGTGGCCGGGACGGTGTGTTGACCAAGTTGTGATGGGGCCTAGAGAGCACTCTAAGTTGGAGCGTCTCCTTAGGCTGGTTCTCCATGTTCTGTCCTACACAGACTGGTTTACTTCTGCGTTGCTGGCTATCATGCAAGTCTGTGGAGCAGCTCCCCAGCAAGGTTGGACTAATGGAGCGCCTCAGCCAGCCAATTTGCAAGGCACATCTTGATGCGACGGCCTTACTTTCGGCTGCCATGTCACACCTTGTTGTTGCCCGCGGTTGTCAGTCCTTTCTGGACTGCCAGTCGGCGATTCCTATCGGGCTACTCTTTTGGAGGCTCCCTTGACTGGCGAGGATTTGTTTGGCAGGGTCCTTCCCTCAGTGCAATCTGAGATGGGGTTGGACCCATTTGTGTCTGAGGATGCACGCCACAGCTGGCAGGAAGAGGCAGGCTTCTAGCTCCTCCAGGCGTAGGAGAAAGAGGGCAAATACTGCTGCTTTTCAGCAGCAGGCTACCCCTCTGACTTCCGTTCCGTCGGAACGGCGGAAATCTTCCTTCCGAGGTAGGGGTTCCCATAGGGGTGAAGGCAAAGCGAAATTTTCCAGAGGTAGGAAGGGTTCCTGACTTTTTCTTGCCCTTGGTAACTCCTTGTCCACTGTCTGTCGCCACTCCCACGCCCTTAGGTCGAAGGTTCAGGCCATGATTGCGAAGGGCGCGATCGAGGAACTTTCACCGGACCGGTGGTCTCCAGGGTTTTACTCCCGGGTCTTCCTCGTGAAGAAGAAGTCCGGTGCCTGGAGGCCTATTATCAACCTCAGTACATTCAACACGTATGTCGATTCCCCGCACTTCCAGATGGAAATGCCACGACGCATCATTGCCTCCAGGGATGTGGACTACGTCCATCGATCTGAAGGATGCTTACTTTCACATCCTTGTCAGGAGGTCGGCAAGGAAGTTCCTCACGTTCACTTTCAAGCAGAAGGTTAACCAGTTTTGCGCTATGCCCTTCGGCCTCCTTGGTTTTCACCAAGTTGTTCCAGGTAGTAGTGGGGCACCTCCACAGTCTCGGGGTAGATGCACACATCTACTTCGACGACTCCCTGTTGCTCCAAGTTGAATATAAACCAAGGTCATTTATTTGAACAAACTTGGTAGCCCTTCATCCCAGCATGTAACTGGCCAAATATCAGTACCCTAGGTCTCTTGGTTATTCAGAAGAAGTCGTTTAAAGGTTTTTAACATATTTGACCCCAGTGACCTTGAATATAAATCAAGGTCATTTATTTGAACAAACTTGGTAGCCCTTCATTTCAGCATGGTACTGGCCAACTATCATCACACTAGGCCTCTTTGTTATTCAGAAGAAGTTGTTTAAAGGTTTTAACATATTTGACCCCTGTGACCTTGAAAATGGTTGAAGGTCATTTATTTTAACAAACTTGGTAGCCCTTCATCCCAGCATGCTTCTGGCCAAATATCATTACCCTAGCCCTTTTGGTTACTGAGAAGAAGTTGTTTAAAGTAAAAAGTTGACACCGGACCGACAGACGGACGACGGACGCCGCACCATGCCATAAGCAACGCCTTGTCACTCCGCAAGAGACATAGCAGAGGCTGAGAAGGCAGATGCTAGGAAAGGCAACATGCTCTGAAGGAGCGAAGTGCGCTCCCGGACGGCCGAATCTGAGGAAGGGAGTGGGCAAACCCCATCCCCCAGAAGCTTCTTAACTTCGGCACGTAGAGTGCGAAACGAAGCAGAAACCTCTGGAGGCACCGGATCAGCATCTCGGGGCCAGGATTGTGAAACATCGGAAGGGCCTTCCGAGTCCAACCCAGACGATTCCAATGACTCCAAATTGGAGTCAGAAAAAGCGCCGACTCTATTCTTATCCCGAGTCCCTGTGAAATTGGAGCAACCGGGAGAGCCCAAAAGAACATCCCTCTCATCACTAGGAGAGGCACCCGCCGAATCCACCTCCATCAACGTTACCCTCCGAGTAGGGGAGAGAGACCGTGACCTACCCGAAGGAACTATAGGAGCAAGTGATAGTCCCTGAGAAGCAGCAGGAGCCAGGTGCCAGGTGAGCTAAAAAGGAGCTCGAGACAATGCAGCACGACCAGCAGCCCTAACATTGTGCGGTCTCTGCCTGACAGAACTGGCAGAAGCTGGCCGGGAGCACGAATTTCCCAGCCATATATAAGGATGTTTAACCATCTTCAGAGGTCATTTGAAGTGTTTGATATATTTGACCCCGGTGACCTTGAAAGGAGGTGAAGGTAATTTTTACTTGCAAACTTTGTCAGACTCCATCCCAAGAAACTACCAGTGAAATATTAAGATTCTATACCTTTCAGTTCTTCAGAAGAAGTTGTTTAAAGTGTTTGGTGACCATGAAAGCAAATCCAGGTTATTTTCATTGGCAAACTTTGTCAGGCTCGATCCCAGGAAGCTACCAGCAACATATTGTAATTATATGCTTTTAGATAATTAAGAAGTCATTAAAGTGTTTGACATATTTGACCCCTGTGACCTTAAATGTAGGTCGAGGTCATATTCATTCACAAACTTTGGTGTGCTCCATCTGAAGAAGCTACCAGCAAAATATGATGATTATATACCTTTTAATTCGTTAGAAGTTGTTTGAAGTGTTTGACACATTTGACCCCTTTGACTTTTAAAGTAGATCGATGTCAATTTTGTTCTCAAACTTTGTTGGGCTCTATGCCAGGAAGCCACCAGCCAAATATTTAGATTATATAACTTGCAGTTCTTCAGAAGAAGTTGTTTTAGGTAATTGACCCTTGTGACCTTGAAAGTATGTCAAGGTCATTTTTATCCTCAAATTTTTTCTGGCTCTTACAAATAAAGCTTTAAGCCAAATATCATGACTCTAGGCCTGTCCATTCTTCAAAAGAAGTCGTTTAAAAGGAAAGTTGACAGCTGACTGACGGACGACAAACGCCATGCAGGACATAGACTCACTTGCCCTTCGGGCAGGTGAGCTTACCATGAACGAATTAAACGTGTTGCGAAGTTTCAAGACTGACTGGTCCCTTCGTCAAGGTATGACTGAGTGAGCAATTTGTATTGTTTACCTGTACAATGATGTGACGAAATTGTATATTTCTTATGTCACTCTACCCGGGACGTTTTGCCTATCGATTGAGAGTGTACACACACTGTATTGAATAGGTCCCCCTCGTCTCTGTTCATGGTTACATAAGAAATATACAATTTTGTAAGACATTGCAGTAGTAGGATGTCATTGTAACCTGTACATCAATAACATATGTTTTACTAACATCTTTTTATTGAATGCCTCAGGACTGAGAAAACCTTTAATAGTAATTATGGGAGGAAAATAAGAATTATTTTTCCATACTAAACTTAGCCTCATTTCTAGGTAAACAGAGTCTCTTTAAAATGAATATTATGTGATAAAGAAAAGAAACAAGTGGTTTAAATGTATTTTTTTAATTTTGATCTCAATTTCTCAAGACCAAATCATGTTGATTAACATGTATTTGAATACTGTTGAATTGAATAGATACTTTAGATACCATAATTTCAATTTTTAATGGTTATTCAAAACTTCTCATAAGAAAATTGAAACTGGCGTTCAGTTTTTTTGCAGATATTTATAAATAAATGATAATATTTTTAAAATGTCATTTCATGTAAAATTCATCATAGATGAATGTAAGTCCAGCACCGTTGTGCACCATTGAAAGCCATTATCAGTGTCCATTTAATTTTCCTGCTGTTCAAATATTGGGTAATTGTTGATCACATCATTCCATGTCCTGCGGCCATTAGACAGATCACGTACAATCTCCGGCAACTCATCAATCTGCAATACAACCAAGAGGAACATAACAAATAACGACTAACTCAACGTATTCTTACTATTTATAGAATAATGGCGTCTGGATTTTCCTGTACAGATTCTAGGGAAAACTTGAAATTTATGATGCCATTCTATTGTAAATAATGGCGTCTGTTTATCGTATATAGACATGAAAGATATGAAAATTCAACCTTAAAGTGCAGATATTTTGGGTCAAGACTTCGAAAGAATTTTTAGGTATGGCACAAATTCATTAAAATCTTATATTCATCTCACTGAACTCCCAAACCAGTAGCACTCATGGCCTTCAATGATTAGGCTGATATGGGAGTTTCAGGTTGATTTAAGCTGTGACATGAGAAACAAGGTTACCACGAGCGGTATATAATACGCCCGTCACACATTGAATGAGCAGTTGTTTGTATGATTGAAATATATGAAGTATTTGTGAGTAATTGATAGTAAAAGAGAAATCATTCAACATAACTGGTAGATCAATGAGTGCAATACAACATCATCGAACGCATGCATCGCATTAATGAAACCAAGGGGAATAACTCCAATAATTACGGTCGGATAATGGCGGTTATCGAACTTGTCCGAGGTTTCATGGTAATTAACCTTGTAGTGAAGTTTGAAGTTAATCCGTTAATAATTACTCGAGATATCGAGCGGACTCTGTTTCGGCAAGTCCATAAAGGGGCATAACTCAACAAATTATGGTTGGATAATGGCGGTTATCGAACTTGTCAGCGCTTTCATGGTAATTAACCTTGTTGTGAAGTTTGAAGTTAATCCGTTAATAATTACTCGAGATATCGGGCGGGCATGCGAACGATGTCCGCTCACGTGATAACATAATACGTCCCCCGTCTTCGACGGGCGTATAAAAAGTGTATATATATTTTTTTTATAATACTATAACACATTACAGCTATAGCTTACAGAACAAGTTTAACATTCTAGCTTCATAACAACAGCTATATTTACCACTACTGCCACTAAATTATCCTACTAAGTTCTGATGGCATTCATATAAACTATGAATACCATGGTTCATGTGTTGAGGTCATTATCATTAAGACATCATTAATTGTTGCCGAGTTGAATCCCACTCAACCACCCTCCAACATGGCAGTTCTATTCATTATTTGATAAATTAATACATTTTCTTAGAGTATTTTTAAAAATGGTTAATATAATTGTGAACAGACTGCAGTTTGCATTCATAGTAACTACGAATGCCAACTGGAACATGGCAAATTCAACATGAAGTGCAATCAAACTTAATGGAATTGTCACATTCCTGTTGGCATTCATATTAACTATAAATGCCAAATGAAAGCAGTTCAATGTTTTATAACATACGACTATATAACATTATAGCTAGGTAACATTATAGCAACAGCTATATAACATCACTATCAGGTCTTAGGTAAACCCAAAACATTTTGGGAGACAATGAAATATATTATTCAGTTTCAAAATGATTACTATGGTTGCCGGATATTTACCGGGGCTCGTATCTGTTTCATAGAGTCCCTATCTCTTAGTGTAGCACTGTGGGGGGTTTTCAGTGTGTCAAAATCCACAGTCATTCCATAGGGGACGGCGAGCTGGTCAGTGCGGGCATATCTCCGGCCAATAGAACCACCGCTGTCGTCCACTTTGTGCGATATATCACATTTGGTCAAGGCCATCGCTGCAGGACAATGATGATAAATGAACATGTTATATACATTATTTATGCATTGAATAATGAATAAATTGTTCCTTTTAGGGGTCGAAGACTTTCTTGAGATAAATAACTGATGAAGAAACTTTGTTGAGACAACCCTCTCACCTGATTAAGGGCACCAAAGGGAAGAATGCTGATCTGTGATCTTAAAATGAATAATGGAAAATATGCACGCAAAAAAAAAGACGTTTGTATTAAACAAATGCGACTTTGGCATAAATATACATATATGTATTACCATTTAGAAAGTTTTGGTCTTGAAAGTTTTAATTTAGAGAGGTTTCAATGTTGATGGCTACTTACAGAGCTGTTTAACAAAAGGCTGTAGTTCTGCATTTGTACTGAGAGGTAGGACGGAGCACTTGTAGGGTGCGATCATTGCTGGTAGAGACAGGTACTGTAACATAAAGTGAATTAAATATAGACATTTTCATTTTCTGGTTTTGAAACTGTCTAATATTAGCACTGCTCTTAGTGTATGTAGCGAGTCAAACACTGATAGAATAGTTCACCCAGTTCAGGGTGAAATACGGTTATTTTTCCCCGAGGGTTCAGATTCCCCAGCCCACCTCTAGGGGTGTATGATTCTTTTGTTGTTACCCTGTTGACATAACAGGCTCAATGCATTGCTGGCCTAACAGCATTGTATTGTTGAGTGAATCCTCTCATCTCAACCCCTTGGGTGAGACTTATAGAATCTCTCATCCTCTTTAGGGTGAGATAGGGGAACCTCAACCCGAAGGGAAAGTTTCTTAAGTTGCCAAACACGAGGCTTTGCCAACTATTTGGAAACTTATGAATCTTTCCCCGAGGGTTGAGATTCCCCTATCTCACCCACAAGGGGATGAAAAATTCTTTTTCTCTTACCCTGTTCACCCATTGTGTAGCATATACATACTGTAATGTTAACTTATTAATGCATTGCTATCATGATATTGATGCATTGTTGATGTCATGTCATTGTTTTGTTAACATGATGTCATACAATTGTCATGAATAGGGAAATCCCCCCCCCCCCCATCTCAACCCTAGGGTGAGACAAGGATATCTCACACCAGTAAAAGTGTGGAGACAGCTGTCCAAGGGTAAAAAATAATATAATCTTTCCCCACCTTTGGGATAAGACGGAAAATCTCAACCCAAGGGGTAAGATTCTTTAACGCCTAGTCCGAGGCTGTGCCGATGGCCAGACTTATCAGAATCTTACCCTGAGAGTTGAGATTTTTCTGTCTTACTCCTGATGTGAGGAGTGAATAACTTTTCCCCAATACAATTGGTAATTCCATGAAATACAACGTTGATTTCACAATTTCCAGGAAATCAGAGTCATCTACTGTGATCTACTATTGTTGACATGACATCATGGCATTGTTGATCTAATGTCATATCTAATGTCATACAATTGTTTTGACAGGGGAATGCCCCTGTCTTTACCCTAGGGAAAGACAGAAGTATCTTTCCCTGATCATGATGAGAGTGTGGATATCGCTATATCTATTGGGAGAGAAGAAGGATATCTTACACTGGGAAAAGTGTGGATAAACCTGTTGAGGGTATGAGAAGACTTTGTTAATGTGTAAACAGTACTATAGTTCTTCAACTATTTTGTTAACATGATGNCCCCCCCCAATCTCAACCCTAGGGTGAGACAAGGATATTTCATTTTAAAATCCCAGGAATCTTCAAAAGAATTCAATACCGACCCTTAAGTAAAAGCTGACATAAATTAACTGCTACTGTCAGTTTGAGAATTAAGATGAATTAAAAAAATCGAATTGCTTGTCTATAGAGTAATTCAATAGAATCTCTTTATTTTGGAATTTTCATAATAAAATCTTACTGTTCTCTGTTCATCTCCCTCCCTTGTTTTAAAACTGTGTTCGAATATAGAATACATAACTCGTCCGACTCCAAATGACGGTTCTATCACAGACGGCATAATCTCTTCAACTGTAACGTAAAAATTGTACAACTCAATTATTCATAATCTTAAATAAATGAAGTATAAAAATATGAAATTTCAATCCATATGACATCTAGTATAGAAGACATGGCATAACAAAGAAGTATAAAATCTGCATCTTTTCAAAATAAAATGTGTGGTTTGGTTTGGTTTGGTTTGGTTTGTTATTGTTTAATGTCCTATCAACAGCTATGGTCATTTAAGGATGGTCTCCCCTGTGTGTAAGATGCATGCGTGTAAGTTTTAGGAGGCTGCGATATGTTCTTGTTTAATAATTAATATCGTCTTTTGTGAGCTCTTTACGTGAAAATTGGCCCTTTGGAAGCAAATACACTTAACACTGTTCATCTTTTGAAAGCCTCAGTATGAACCAACCAAATAAATATTTGGCATGCTTGAACATTGTCATAGTGTTCATTTGTAGAAAGGAACTTTTGGTTGTCACATGTGGACGCGTTCGTTTCTGCATGCCAACTGTCCAAAAACACCATAGTTTCGCTATTTCTGCATAGCTACACAATTCGTTGCTATGGTGTGGCATTTATGCAATTGCGATGAAAACAAAATTCACACAGAAATGTAGCCCCAATTTACCAACATGAATGTTTACTGAAAATAATCCATAACGCCCCAAGTCCACAACTACATAATATGTGTATAGAGTAATTAACACTTAGTACATGTACAAGCATAATTATCGCCAATTCTTGTTTTTTTAGGTATGTTATATAAAGACATTGTGATAAAACCATTGAAAATCATTACAAAGTGAGGACACACTGACCATGTACTGTCTTTGGGTAACGCTTGATCTCCAGCATGTCAGATTTCAGGGTGAATGATTTACCGTTCACATCAACGGAGAATTCTCTTCAAATAGAAAACACGTGCTTGATGAAAATATATACCGAGATAGCAGTTGGGCCCAAAAATAAAGAAATCAACAGTGCCAATATATATATTCTGACGACATTTTTTACCCAATTATATGTTATGTATAGAATTTTGCTGAAATAGGGTTATGTCATCATTATTCCAGTGCTGGGTCTAAATTTTTATTAAAAAATTCACATAAATTACATTTAGAAAAATGACTTTTTCTTCAGCCTGTTACTTTACTGACTGGATGTATCTGTTTATTTTTCCGTAAAACACAATTCCAGTAACAGTGTTTCAAAGGTTTGTAAACAGTTAGAAAATATGTTATTGTATAACATACCCATTTTCTTTGAGGCTATTTTCGAGACTTTCTATATCCTCTGTAGACAGACCACTGATGTGTGTCGAGACATCTTTGGCCTCCCTCTTGAAGGCCTTTCCCATGAGCTTCATGTTGGGTACACACTCGGTAACATCAATGGTTTTGTGGGGTAAGGTTAAGGACGAATTATATTTTTTTTGTTTTCAACAAGTACAACATGTACATAACACTGATATTGTATTTTATAAATAATAATAATAATAATAATAATTTGAGGTTCATATATACCGCTTTATCACAACCTAGTTCGTAGGTCGTCTCAAAGCGGTTCACAAATTATTATCTGTGGTTTGCAACAAGCCAATATCGTTCTCAACACCATGGAGAGCATACAGCCGGTGCTACCATTTCGGCGCTCACAGCTAGCATACTCATTTACAGCTGAGTCGACTAGAACAAGCGGAGTAAAGTGTCTTGCTCAAGGATACAACACAGTGCCGTGCCTCGCCTGGAACCCGCAACCCTTCGGTCACGAGCTCGGCGTCCTACCACTAGACTACCGGGCCTCCAAAATAAACAGTTGTAGTAGGATTACAAAACATTACACAATTCAGGCGCATGATATGAATGATGTGTGATAGCTTTTGTGGTTAGTATTGATTTAGGAATATATATAAAGCTTGTGATGTTTTTAACCTATATATATATATATATGTCCCGATTTTAAGTATTGCCATATTGTAGCTAGATTGTAGCTAGATATACATGTGTACACTTATACCTAATTTTCTAAATTTAGAAATGGATACATTTTTAACAATCTAAACTTGCAGGTGTATCCAAGGATCCATTCACACATTCAGATAAACATAACCGCCTTCATAATTTATCTGGACTGTTTTTCACTGAGGAGTGAAATTGACAGTCACCAGACACAGAAAAGATATTACCTGGTAAATGGTCCCTTTATAGGTAGGTATCAATTCATTCTACAGACAGTAATATCATATGGTATGAAGCATGTTGACACAGGAGTTAAACTATGTCAAAGTATAGCATCAATCAAAACATATGCCAAACTCAATGATCTCCGTGTTATTAAAAGACATGTACAAACAAGGATATAGCTTCAGCCAGTTTCCTCTCCGCCACTAGTTTAACCCCAGTAGCCTTGGTATGCTGGGTCAGATCGTAACAGGATCGGTCCGCACAACCCACACATTCCACCCAGCCCTGTAACAGGGATTTGTTATACAATATAAAACATGAAACTTGTCAATCTGGCAAAACCTGGAACATGTCAACATTTGCAGAAACTTATAACATGTAACCACAGGCAAATCCTATAATGTGTACATGATGATAAAGGCTCATAAAGGCACAATGATAATTGAACTCAAATTTGACAAATTTCTATGAATAGTAACAATGACCTTAACTCTTTGACCCCTGAAGACACATTTGAACACTTCCAATTCAATGGTTGGAATAGTTCATTAAGAAATTTCAGGGGTGAATGAGTTAAGCCTTACCCTTGTTTCCAGAAATATGAATATCCCCCCACCCCACAACCTGAAAGAGCAAAAACAGTGTGGACGTATAAGGAAAAGAGGACCTTCAAATATGGTTGGTGGTACATGAATTAGCAATTGAATGAAATGCTTGGCAGTATAGCAAAGTTTACTCCTATCAACTCTGATGAATACCTGCAAATAGGGATTCAAAAAGCTGAATTCTTCCTTACCGTTAATCCCTGAACACAGGGATCTGGGGGTTTGAATTCCTATTATATATAAACCCCAGTAGCATCCAATGACTTAACCATACACAGATACAAGTTTGCATAACTGATCATCTTCATAATATATTATAATAAAATTGGTTAATTTAAGACATTTTGAAGTTTTACATTGGATAAATAAGAATGTTTTTAAAAGTCTGTTGGCGAAGATGTTGTCTCGGGAGATGATTTTGTGAGGAAATACGTGGGTGTGTCAGGTTCCTTCTCCATTATTGTACACATAATTTAAGTTTATAATAAACTTTGTTTATTGAGAATAAAATACAACAAACTTTTTTGTAAAGGACCATGTGGAAGATTAGCCTTTACATGTAAAGGCTAATCTTCCACATGGTCCTTTACAAAAAAGTTTGTAGAGTTTTTAAAACTCTTTCATCAATGGCTAATAAAACTTCATGAGACGAATGGCATAGGTAACAGCATATACTATACTACTACTCACGTAAGATGTTTTACACTCGGCGTCCCAACAGTCCTTGGCATAATGAGCCATCTCGTTGGACATGTGTTGACGGAACCGCAGGCGCTTGGGATCTATACCACTCTTCACCATAAACAGGTATATCCGACCCATAAAATAGCCTAGCGTCTCATTGGCGATCAATTTCTGAAAAAAACAAAACAAAATGTGAAAGATAAAACAGTCAGCAGCTACGTATACCAATCTTACTTGAATAAATAATACGGAATATTTTTTCATTACTCTTTTTACAAATTATTTTGCTGATACAAACATTCTCTGTCTGCTGGCATGGTATATTTGAAGTTGATACATATTCACTGTTCTCATCATGTAAAGACATTAGTTCCCTGTAGTCAATATCGTTATACAGGTGGATCAGGGATCAATCTAGGTTTTTGGGGAATTTACCCTTTTTCAGATTTAGGGGAAATCAAAATTTTGATACAAGGCTCTAGTGTCATGAAGATGGTTTGTCCGACATACATGTGTGCAGTATATTTCAACTTATAAAATTGTAAAAAAAAAAATTGTTTAAATTATGTGAAGAAAAAGTATATATGCATTTTAATTGTTGAACTCTAAAAAAACATGGAGGGGAAATATTTTGAAGAAAAAACGCTATTTTCTTGTTGAAATACGGGAATTTTGAAGCCCATAGGGGGAATTTCAAAGAGCAGGGGAATTTTCTTCTGTAGGGGAAACTACCCATAAAAGGTAGTGAATCAAGTCTAGATTGATCCCAGTTGATGTTAAAAATTCTTTGTCAGGTGACATCAATATATCTTCCTCATGATCAACAACTTGTAATATAGGGGTTCTTCATATTCAATATGATTTTTGTATTTGTCGATACCATGCAGTGTGATGCCTACCTCCCTCACAGCGTCATTGATCTTTTTCTTTTCTGGTGCCTTGCCATCCATCTGGTTACAGGCAGAATAAAGGGTCAACTCCAGGTCAGCCACAGTGTCAAACTTAGGATGAGTTGACTTCAGCTCTGGGTCACAGAAATGCTCAATTTCGGCCATCGTAAACTCTCTGTATAATGAGTCAAATTTCAAGATTAGCATGATACAGAATCACAGGCCACAGTAGCCCACTGTGATTTCCAATAAACCCCAAAATTACAACACTTGTAAAATGTCTGGTAAAAAATCTGCATTTTTATTCTTGAAAGAATTCAAATGTGACTCAGCCAATCAGAGATCAGGATGACATCTCAGATTTCGAATCAATCTTAAAATAACATACCATTTTTACGTACCCATACAGAGAAGCCTAGAATGTCATAATTATGAATATTTTCTCTGTCTTTTGATTTATTGCTCAAGCATATCATTCAACATCCAGAACAACTTCAAATATGCCTTGTCTTACCTTACTCGTAGGAGACCTGATCTCGGTGAGATTTCGTTTCGGAATGCATTTCCAATTTGAGCTGCTGCAAACGGTAGTTTTCCCTGATTAAACTGTAGCAGGCGTTTGAAATTTACGAAAATACCCTGAGCAGTTTCTGGTCGGAGAAATCTGTATGGAGATAAAAATAAGTTTAAATATCTTTCTCTTTCAAAATACTTTTCAACATTTACTGATGAGGAATAGAATCTGTGATGAACAGTTTCAAGTTATCTGTAGCTCCCCTGTGTTAAATGAGTTGGGATTGATATTTAAGACACTGACATATTCTTCTTGTGAATCGATGCAACATTAGATTAACTACTTATCAATAATAGATAAATGAAATGTTCAGTCATTATATTTTATTATTTCTTAGTAGATGATTAAAAATAAAGAGACCTTTTTTTAATTCCATTCTAATTAACGCAGATATTCCTATAAAAGTGTAGAATTTTCAGGTTTTGTGTACCAGCTAGTATACAACCAAAGCTGCAGTTTGATATTCCAGTTTAATTGTTACTGATAATGAAAATTACACTGTACGATGAAAATTACACTGTACAATGAAAATTACACTGTACAATGAAAATTACACTGTACAAAGAAAATTACACTGTACCAAGAAAATTACACTGTACAATGAAAATACTGTTTATTAAACATACAGTACTGAAAATATCCCAAACCGTAACAGTACAATGGAAATATATACACATTATATAATTTATATTACAAAATTTATATATTTACGTATTTTTTTTTTACATTTTATCAAAGACATCTTACTAAGGTTGACACATATACTTGTAAAACCATAAAATAAAACTTTCATATAATTGAAAAATTCATTTCTTAACAGACGCTTGGAATGAAATTACTTGATATTGTGTTTTCAATGTTTTTTTAACATAGCGATGTAATTAAATATAGCCCCTACCCTTTGATCTGACCAGTTGGCCCTATAGATGTACCACACAGCTTTAACAGTACTTTACAAAGTTTATATAAATATAGCCCCTACCCTTTGATCTGACCAGTCGGCCCTATAGATGTACCAAACATGAGGTTGAATTCCATCGGGTCACTGACATCATTCCCTGTCACGGGAGACTTCATCTCATACTTGCGTATCAACTCGCCTAGCTCTTCCTTGGTCATACCCTCAATCTGTGGAGAAAAGTATTGGTCTGTGTTATGCGAATTATTAGGCAAAAAAACAAATAATTTCATGTTTTATTTTTGCTATCATCCTCAGAAAAAATAGGGTAGGAAGGTAGGCATTTTTTTTTAAAATCTTGAAACTATTTTCATTTTGTTTATACAGAGCAGGAGTTTGGACTTTAACAGTGCAAACCACTAAATGCCAATAAAAACTTTAGGGTAGGCACAAAATCTATGGCATGTAAGGTTTAGCTGAAACACAAGATGTTTTTTATTGGCCTTACAATTTCATGAAAAGCATACAAAAAGTTAGGCCTCAATTCAAAATAGTACAGCTGCTATACATGAACATCATTTGAATTGAGGATTTCAGTTGTTTGTTTTATTTTTCCTTTCATAATTCTCAATTACTTGTGAATGAGTAATTGGTAGCACAATCACATTAGCTATAAATATAAGCGAATGGTTTATAATAATCTAACATTGATGAGTGACTCAAAACTCATAAACTGAAAAAATATCAGTAATATATATAAATGGCCATTTTGGCCAATTAAGACAAAAATCCTGACTGGACAGAATTTGGATCAGACAGAGTTCACTTAATTGACAAAAAAAAAATACAGTTGTATAACCAGTTAATCCAAAGGTTTCTTATTTTGAACAGGAAGTTACTCTTAGCTGACTATGAACATAAATTTGGGACAGAAATGTGTCTGTGTTCTTTGAGTGAAATTAATTGTTAGAATCTTTCCTGCATCAACCTGTTTACTCTACCTTCTTTACTGACGTGAAGTACCAGTCTTTAAGACATTGTTGTAAAATATCAGATTATCTTTTCTGAAAAACTGGAGTCACTTTGAAGCAAATAGCATGAAATGATATGAAAGAAATATACCAGTGACATTTTGAATAGCATTGTCACCCTGGTAAAATACTAGCCCCTTCCTACTGACTTGGCTAGGGAGAATTTCTCTTTATAGCTCATTTGGAAGAGGGTAAGAGTAGTTAACCAGAAGTCTCGGCTTCCACTCTTAGCGGATGCATTGAAAAATATTAATGATATCTGTTACAGTATACTGTGAATAAGGGAATGTAGAAAGAAACAACACTTACTCTGGGTAATATCTGTCGTATCTCGTCCTTCTTCGCTGCGGCTACCTTTTTGTCACTTAACACCTTCTCAAAGAAACCTGTGATAACCAAGGGGAGATAACTACTTCAGAATTAGATATACCAGTCCAATATTTAAATATGCAGATGCTAATTTTGCATTCCAAAATTGCATAAGGTACCAGTCAATTAACAATTTGACATGCATTAATATAGATCTACAGTTCCCTTGTGTTAAGAGTTGGAAATGATATTTAAATTACTTCAAGATTCTTCTTGTGAATCGATGCAACACAAAGATCAAGTACTTATCAATAGTAGATAAATGAAAGTTTAAGATAATTAAAATTATTAGTGTAAATGCAATGATATACTTTGCTGTATGTCTTTACAGTGCTATCGTTATTAGATTCTTAACAGCCTATGGACACTGAAGAGGTCTTCAGGGCTAATAAAAGGTTAATAAAACATGTTAATGGACAGGGGAATTTTTTGAAGACCGATTGTGTGACAACATGTACACTAACCTTCTACTAAGTGATCGGCACGGAAACAAGCCCCATTTTTCAGGTCCTTCACCATGTGATCCTGGAACCTCTCCACATGACCGGAGGCTCTGGAAAGGGGTGATAATTACACAAATGACAAAACATGTGTGTATTCGATAAAATTGAATGTATAGAACACATCCTCACCAGATTTAGTAAATTATTATTTTTCATTTTCTTGTATCAGTGTGGATACTTTTTCATGTTGGTCATGACACTTTTTTTGAGACATCTACATGTATGTGGTCAGTTTATATGAATGCCTACTTGAGAACAGTTTCCTGAGTAAGTATATATAAATAGTTACTTTAGTACAGTTTCCGGTGTCAGCACGGAGCAGTCCACCTCCAGCATCTGTTCCTCAAGCACAAAGAAGTTCCTCCAAAACTGGATCAGATTTGCCTTCACGGCACACCCCATTGGACCAAAGTCATATAGACCATTGACACCTACACAAAAAAGTTATTACCGGTATTATACATAGGGTCTGAACAGTGAATATAAAAATCAATTATATGTCAAGACAACCTATCACAGGGCAATCCATAGTCCCTCCCAGTTTATGTGTGTCATTGAAATTTAGACATAATGTAATCGTGTCAACTCTTTCATTCAAATCAGAAAATAATATGAACTATTCGTAGAGACAGAATTTCACAGAAATGAGCTCATTTGAATCACAAATCAAAATACAGGTCCAGACACCTTTTTGTATCTACACAATACTTGATTATGGATAGTACTTCAAACATTTGTTAAATCCAGGAGATATTCGCAAAACAGTTACTTTAAATAATTTTTGGAGTAAAAAATGTCAAAGAATACAGATTAGGTTACTGTGACCTGTTTTCAGTATGCTATACTCTAGATTTAGTGTCCCAAGAATACAAGAGGTGAACAAAGAAGCTAGCAAGAGATTGTCATCATTATAGCTACCGGTATATACTAGTTTTCTTATCTTTGCATCAATTACTGATATCTCACTGTGAATATATTAACACTCTGCAGAATAACACTGTGCACAACTATGGAGTCATCCACCATTTCCTCATCCCCAACCTTACTAAAATATTTGCTATAAGTAAATCCAGGAAAATTTGTATGAATCTCACCTCCATAAATTGAAAAGGACTGATCAAAGAAAAACTTCTGTTTCAGTAAATCCTCCAATTTTGCTCGGTCGAAGTCATCTTTTGGGGACAACGCCAATTCCTTAAAAACAAATGTGTATTTTAGAAGTGTTCCATCACTGAATCGTACAGCTACAGCCTAAAAACTTTTCGTACTTCCGGTGACCTCTTCCGGTTCATGGAGCCCGTAAATATGCCTAATCCAATAGTATAGAGCAACATGTAATGTAGCAGGAAAATGTGAAAGCTATATTTGACACTGTATATTACTTTATTTAATCCCTTACTTTCTATAAATTCTTCATCTTTTTGAACGCAAAGAAAGTAAATCTTACAAACAGTCAATTGGAAATGTATTTAGCAATTGCACTATAAGTTCATCTGTTTACAGTTATAGGCAGTTGCTCAAGTATTGTTATATTCTGAAGTTATCAACAATATCCTTCTTTTTACACAATCCACATGATTTAACAGACTATCATATAATTATTTTCCATCTTCTCACAAATCAACATTTCCTGTTCCTCTGTTAATTATAAGGACCCAACTAGACCTTCCCTGCTGTCCAGGACCTAAGACCGTACGTTCCTTGCCCTCCTCCTCCAAAGTCTACTTCCTGTATTGAAGAGTAAGACCATACCTTCACGGTACTTTCCAAATCCTTCTTCCTACTACACAGTTCTGTATCCTCTGAAGTTTACATTTGCACTTCCTCATACTAGTAAATACCAAACCTTCTGTCTACTTTTTGCCTCTTGATCTGGATCTCAAATCTTCTTCCTATAATGTTGAAGTCAATACTTCCTGTAGGTAGCCTCTGGAGACTACCTGCTACTTCCTGTGTTGAAGACCAGATCTACTGTATCTTCCAAAGCATGCTAGCTATATATATAGACCTACCTTAAACCTACTGCCAGACCTAGATATGTTTATCAGAGACCTCCAGGTCCCGTATTCATGAAACCGTTCTCACGCATGAGGATTTTGTGCTCGAGTCTAATTTCTTGTTCCGTTCATAAATTGATAATAAAATCTAACGGACTATGTATGGTTTGAGCCTGTTTTGGCTCCCAAATGCATCAAAATTCAAAACCTTTCAATGAACTTTGAAATGACTGTTTCTTTAATTTCGAATACTTCCTAAATACTATTATGAAAATATTTATTTATATTTCTAATTATTGTTGCCATGGTAACAAGTTCAAATTTGCATAAATTAGAAAAATTTGAATATTCAGTGAATATTGGGATATTTTGCATAATTTTTTTCCTAGAAACTATAAAGCGCATGCTTGAACAAACTCATATCAAACTATAATGTGTAGGCACCTGTAATACATCTTTAGGAGAAATATAAAGTTTGTTCAAGAGTGCGCTCTATGGTAGCTAAGAGAACAAGAGGCCCAATGGGCCTTAACGGTCACCTGAGTCCTACAGTATTTATTTTTGTTGTTGAAATATGTACTAATTTGAGTAAAAAATAGTTAAGTATAATGTTAACTTAACTTTGTCAGGACCATGAACTGATCATTCCTAGACCGATTTTCAGTGAGATCGGCCTATTAGAACTTGTTTTTAAGTTTGAAGTAGGTATTTACAAAATAGTGGCCATCACTACTGTATGCAAAGACTGTTAAAATTGTGTTAAAATTGTATTAATTTTATATTAAAAGGGAAAAATCATTAAAAACAAGTATTAAAATATTATTTGGAATATTTAATGAAAAGGAGTACCATGTGTTAAAAAAGTATTAATTATGTTGTTTAATATAAATTAAACAACATTTCCATATGGATTAAACAGCTGCAAGGTAGGTATTGAAATGTTAATTTGCATCAAAAAGTCATTAAATTTTGTGACAGCGAAAATTAATGATACTTTTAACATATGTTATTTTTGTTTAATGCTCATTAAATCTTATTATGGCAGTCACCAAAGTTTTTTTAGCAAATGATGGTCTTAATTTTAGGAATTTAAAACATGTTAAAATTCCTACATGAATTTGAGGGGAAATAATCATTTTGCCAAAAAATGTGCATGCTGTTGCACACAAATGCACCTATGAATAAGAAACCAAACACAGAAATTTTAACATTTTATAGAGGAAAAAATGTCCCCTATATGGGAGATTGTTTCCCCCAGTCCCCGTTTGGGGATGTGTGCCCAACCTGTTCATGGGGTAAAACTACCTCCATGTAAACACTTATTCTGGAATGGTAAGTGAATTAATTTACGACATATCATGCATATAATTTTGTCAAATTTACGAAATATCGAATTGTTGTGTACGCGATTTCTCAACGCCTTGATATGTTTTCACCAAACTTACCCTATACATAGTCGTACTACATATGAAGTTCTATATCTGATTACAATTAGTTTGGAGGTCAGAGGTCAAACTTCAGGTCAAGGTCACAAGACGTGGGCGCATACTGTGTTTCACAAACACAGATTCTGATTTTATTGAATAAATTTTTTCTTTAGTTTGTATTACCCATGTCTTTTCCTTTCTTTCAGAAAATGGAATTTCTTTGGATGTTATTAAGAAGTTCACTGAAAATGATATCCAAGATATCTTCAAAAATGCAAGTTTTATGGACAGATTCAGATTAAGGCAGTATATTCAGGGGCACGAGGAAGCTGCTGATGGAAGTAGCCATGCGCAGATGGGCAAGCACCAGGAGACTCGTAATAATGATCAGTCACCCTCGAATGATCAAGGTCAGCCAAGATGTGCACACAACGTAACTAATGCCACGAATGATAATCGGCCTATACATACATACAACATAAAAGACATGTTAAGGACAAAAGAACAGAGAGG